TATGCCTGCTACAGGATCATATTTACTACCCTGTCACTATAATGCCTGCTACAGGATCATATTTACTACCCTGTCACTATAATGCCTGCTACAGGATCATTTATGCTACCCTGTCACTATAATGTCTGCTACAGGATCATATATACTACCCTGTCACTATTATGCCTGCTACAGGATCATATTTATGCTACCCTGTCACTATAAAGCATGCAACAGGATCAAATATACTACCCTGTCACTATAAAGCATGCAACAGGATCATATATACTACCCTGTCATTATAATGCCTGCTACAGGATCATATATGCTACCCTGTCACTATAATGCCTGCTACAGGATCAAATATACTACCCTGTCACTATAATGCCTGCTACAGGATCATATTTACTACCCTGTCACTATAATGCCTGCTACACGATCATATTTACTACCCTGTCACTATAATGCCTGCTACACGACATATTTACTACCCTGTCACTATAATGCCTGCTACAGGATCATATTTACTACCCTGTCAATATAATGCCTGCTACAGGATCATATATGCTACCCTGTCACTATAATGTCTGCTACAGGATCATATATGCTACCCTGTCACTATAATGTCTGCTACAGGATCATATATACTACCCTGTCACTATTATGCCTGCTACAGGATCATATTTACTACCCTGTCACTATAATGCCTGCTACAGGATCATATTTACTACCCTGTCACTATAATGCCTGCTACAGGATCATATTTACTACCCTGTCACTATAATGCCTGCTACAGGATCATATTTACTACCCTGTCACTATAATGCCTGCTACACAATTATATTTACTACCCTGTCACTATAATGCCTGCTACACGATCATATTTACTACCCTGTCACTATAATGCCTGCTACACGATCATATTTACTACCCTGTCACTTATAATGCCTGCTACGGATCATGTATACTACCCTGTCACTATAATGCCTGCTACAGGATCATATTTACTACCCTGTCACTATAATGCCTGCTACACAATCATATTTACTACCCTGTCACTATAATGCCTGCTACAGGATCATATTTACTACCCTGTCACTATAATGCCTGCTACACGATCATATTTACTACCCTGTCACTATAATGCCTGCTACATGAGCATATTTACTACCCTGTCACTATAATGCCTGCTACACGATCATATTTACTACCCTGTCACTAT